AATATGATGAGGTCATTTGACAACAATTGTGCACGTCCAGAATTACAATGCACATGTAATTATTTTATTGTTTACCACTGTAAAGCTGCTTCGAAGCAATTTGTATTGTATAAAGCGTTATAGAAATTAAGATGATTTGACTTGACTTAAATGTGGTAGGTCATCTCTAGGTTGTTCTATTCTATACAGAAATTTGCATACTCCGCACAGTACATGCTGCAGCAATATTAGTATGCTATTTCCATCTTCTGTCCCCTTTGCCGGATTTGGCCCCCTGTGGCTGATTAAACATGCAAGAGTAGAGGGAAAAGCCTTTGTCTTACCCGCATGTTGTACAGTAGATGTGTAACTGTCATTCATAGTAAATGAAGGCGTCAGAGTACTCCGAATAAGCAAACAAGTTTTTGAAAGAAGGACACTCACTGCTATGCCACTTAAAAATAGAATGTGCCGCTTAAATGATCTCATGTCTTATAGAGGTGTGATAAGAGCTGCTTCTTCAACTCATTTAAGTATATCTCCAATAATGCTCTGAACATCCTGCCCTTAAACACACAGATGACTTTACAGATTGTGCAATAAAGTTTTGCAATCCAAGTTGCATCATTACATCAGTGCATGCAAAGCCTGAAGGTTATTTTCCCTCATGTATATTATATTACACTGAATGCATTTTTTAATAATTATGGGAATATTTGAATAGTTTTAAATGGAAAAATATGTTTGTATCCTTTTCGGTTTATTGTTTCTGATAATTTTACATGCATAATTCATTACAGCAAAAATAAAATATATTATAATAATTTAATTAAATTTCGCAAAAAAAAAAAAAAAAACGAATACAACTTTGAATAAGATTGAATAACTTTTTAACAGGTTTGGAGGCATATTTGAATCATAAAGTGATTGGCGCCCGTTTTCTCGGCTGCACTGCATGGCAATCGCCACCACAGTGAAGCAGCAGCGCGATGAAGAAGTCTATACTTTCCCAAGGACAACACGGTTAGGTAATAAATGTTATGTACGAACCTTTTATGACATGCAATATCTGCTCGTCTCTCTCATGAGCTATGCTTTCAGTTGTTTAGCACTCATTGCGGTGTTCAAACAGGATCATATCTAGTGTTTACTTTCAGACAAAGACTGAAGTCATAGCTCATGCAGCACATGTATCAGCTGTTCGGTCTCTATATAAGAGAATCCTGCTGCTGCACTGCTTCATGCCCATAGACCTGTGGGCTCTGGGTTATCAGTATATGAAAGATGAGTTCAGGAGACACGAGCGCATTGGCTGAAGAGGTCACGCGCTTCATGGTGGAATGGCAGGTAAGACAGAAAGTCACTTGACTGCAGAGAAAACAAAGTGCATGTAAATCACGTAGGTTACAGCAAGGCCGTAGGTCTTCCACTGAATAAATGTTTGATTTCAGAGGCACATTTATTGGTGTTGTGGCCTTAAAACACTTAAGACATAAATCTATAAATGTTAGGTAATAAATGTTATGTACGAACCTTTTATGACATGCAATATCTGCTCGTCTCTCTCATGAGCTATGCTTTCAGTTGTTTAGCACTCATTGCGGTGTTCAAACAGGATCATATCTAGTGTTTACTTTCAGACAAAGACTGAAGTCATAGCTCATGCAGCACATGTATCAGCTGTTCGGTCTCTATATAAGAGAATCCTGCTGCTGCACTGCTTCATGCCCATAGACCTGTGGGCTCTGGGTTATCAGTATATGAAAGATGAGTTCAGGAGACACGAGCGCATTGGCTGAAGAGGTCACGCGCTTCATGGTGGAATGGCAGGTTGTCTTACTTTGAAAGTCACTTGACTGCAGAGAAAACAAAGTGCATGTAAATCACGTAGGTTACAGCAAGGCCGTAGGTCTTCCACTGAATAAATGTTTGATTTCAGAGGCACATTTATTGGTGTTGTGGCCTTAAAACACTTAAGACATAAATCTATAAACGTCTTTAATTACATTTAGTCAGCGACATGAAGACAAGAAGGTGTACCCTTGTGAAAAAGTACACTTCAGCATACCTTTAAAAAAAAGAGTAATTATTACAGCGAGATATAATTTAAAAGAAGAATATACTTAATTGCAAACTGAATGTAATGTTTTGTTTTTTTTGGACAATGAAAATATATGAATGCAATGACATAAAATGCGATTAGCTGAACTATTTTTTTTTCTTGACCCACATAGGTCAAGTGTCCAGCAAGAGTAAAATCTTTACGTGGCAGATCGAGGGAGCTGCCACTCGACCCATCACCACTAAATACCTGATAGCACACATACATCACGGAGATGTCTATTTCTGCATTTTTTTACAGTGTTTGCTCATCATAGGATGTTTCCTATCAGATGTCAAATAGACGTTTAGAAAATGTCTTTAAGATGTTTACGATTTAGATTGTGTGTAAACCTGACATCTTAAAGACGTCGATCAGATGCTTTCCAGATCAAGCGATCTTTGACAGACATCTTGCAGATTACATGTGCTATCTGGGAGGTCACCAGTAAATGCGCCTGCTACACACGACCCGTCACCGCTATGGCAAATGAAATAGATAAATAAAACTAGACTGTCTTTTTGCTCACGTGCATCAATCAGAGTGTAAACAGTCAGTTAATGGTGAGTGTACTGTTTGGCTCCCGCTGGTAGCAGGGGATAGTTGCTGCATTTGGAGTTAAAATGACGGAATTATTTATTATGTAAGGTGCCAAAGAATAGAAGGAGTCCAGGGTTGCATTGTCGGTTTAGTTCACATGCATCTATTGGTAGCTGCCTTCAGTTGTAGCAGGTTTTGGGCAGCTCCTCCTGCCACGCAAAGATTTGACTTTCTCTCATATTGTGTTTAAAATATGGTGAAAGTGTACTGCTGAATTGACAAGTAAACTCAAATATACTTTAGTGTAATTTCCTTGCATTAAAGATTTAGGCCTACTTTAATGTCATTTTAATTACACATTTGTAAATTTGAAGTAGCAATTTAGTATATTTTAAGGATAATAAATGAATAAATTTAATTTTAAATGTAATATTGAATAATGTGCTTTAGTATGTTAGCCAACGCATCAAAATAATTGTGCTTCTTTAAAGCACAGCAAAAGAATATTAAAACATAATGATTTTTAAATGTAAAGTGTGAACATTTAATTTAATATTTAATGCAAAGTGCACATTCACTACAGTTAAGTGCACTTCTTTTTCATAAGAGTGATTTAAGTGTCAAAATTCAAGCAAATAATTATTTTCACATTATGGCCGATAACCAATAGGGACAGTATTAAAATAGTTTTTACTATTATATGTAAATACATTAAAAGGAGAAAAAAAACACTAAAAACTAAAATCAATCATTTAAAAATAATATTTAATGTAAAAGTTTTGTTAAAGGTTATATTCAACAAGTGCTATTCAATTATTAGTATTTTTAAAGATCTAATATCAACCAATGCTCATGAATAAATAAATAACCAAGTAACCAACCGATATGGTATATATATCATGTATCCGTACATTTACATAATGCCACTATATATCACAATTCTCACACGAACTCACATGTAAATATCCCTTATTTATCTTCATCCTCATCCTAATTAGCATTTGTATCTCGATTAGGTTGCCAGTGCTTTGTGAAAACAAGATGGATATGATTGTGCATGAATTTTAAACAGTGCTGTTAAACGGAATCCATTGCATTGCAAAACAAACTGCTTTTACAAGAGATGTTACCAAATCTCCAGTTCCTTAATGAGTCAGGAAAACTCCTTTGCTGAAACCTTCCACACGATGGCAGCACCTTCCTAAATTCTCCAACAAATTGAAAACTTAATGCAATTTATCCATAACCCATAACTAACAAATCCTTTTCTCCCAGGCGGCACGGCTGTATCCAGACACCATCTGTGTACATTAATTACATTTCAATCCAGCATCACCTTGATAAGAGTTCATTCTTTAATTTCAGTTATGTGGGGACAGAATCGTGCCATTTTTGAGAGCGTGACGCTCGTATGAATTGCTCCATGACAAATCTAAAGATCAAATTCAACGCATGAGCTCCACTTGAACATGCAGCAGCGTGCATTTAAGGAGCAACGATGCAGATCTTCTTTTACTCTACACCTGGAAATTGAAGATGCGTTTTTAACAGTCAAACTTCACAAGATGTATGTCTTTGTGTCCGCAGCACTGACATGAGTGTGGACAAAGCTGACTCTTACTGCATTTTCACAGTCGTGCAGTGTGAGGACTCGATGTTCCTGGATTGGCAAGGACAATAACAGATATTCTTTAAGAGGGTAAAAACCACACACTTGCAGGTAATGAGAGTCACTCCGTTCTTGTACAGAATGACATGTACACTTCCTTCCAAAAAAGAGCTACTGACTGTCAGGAAGAAATTCTCTATTTTTTTTTTTTTGCAAAATTTCAGCTGTCATGTAGGGCAGTTACCGAACAATTACGGCAAACACAGACAATGTAATAAAATACACAAAGAAAGCCTTAAAGTGATAGTTCACCCAAAAATATTCACCTCATTATTTACTAGGGTTGGGTACTGAAACCCAGTGCCAACATGGCACCAGTACCTGTATAACCGGTATGTACTAGAACCCGAATCAGAATGCAGATTTCGTTGCCTCATTTCGGTGCCACTTAAATGCTTGAGCGATCGATTGAAATATTTGTCCTCTGGTTTTCCGAAACGGACGTAAGGAGCATCATCACCGGCACCGCACATGAAAAATAATTTCCCGACTAGGAAAATGCACATTAACGCAAGTTGGAAAGCTCTAATAATACAAATCCAACACGTCTTTGTTGTAACGTTAGTGTCCATGTTGTTTTTTCGCATTCTGACTTAAAAGCATAACTCGGGAAATGAGAGCATCCGAAGAGCGCGTGAATGCAGCAGTTACACTTGCTCTGATGGCAGCAGGTAGCCTACCATTAGCTAGCTAAGCTAAACATGCTTAAATTAAAATGCCTAAAGCCAAACTTCACCTTGTAATGACTTGCAATGAGAAGTGTTTCTAAACATATTGTCCAACAAAAGAGAACATTATAGCGTTTTTACTCCACAACACCAGTCAAATGCTTCCTTTTGTGACCTGATGTGGCTTCTTATCACAGAATGAGGCAGAAAATATGTTCTATATTGTAAAAAAAGGATATGTCGATGAAAATACCATGGCTTGGAGAACACAGATAAACCATATATTGT